ATTTGTATACTTTATCCCTTTAATTCATTAGTATACTAAAACTCATTAATATATTTTCAAATACTAAGTCATCTTCACATTCCTAGGATAAATCCCACTGGGTCATGACAGTTGTTTTCCTGTGTTATTGGATTTTGCTTATGAATGCTTTATTAGGGATTTTTGCATCTGTGTTTATTAAAAATATATTTATTGATGCAGGAAGTAGTAATAATACTTTACATTTATAAGCTGCTTTGCACTTTTAAAATCACTTCATACGCATTCACCTTAAAATCAGAAGCTGATTTTTTTTATTGTTGTGGATTCATTGAGGATACAAAGAATTGGATTATGCTAACTGCATTTGTTAGGTAAAGCCCCTCTTACAATTATGTCCTGTACCTAAAGGGTGTGTGTGCCATACACTTTGACACCCCCATCTTCCTCCCTCTTTCCCCCGCCCCCTGCTCGCTCATTCCTCTGCCCCTTACCTTGTATTTGCTCATCTACTGCCTTCATATTAGAATTGAGTATACTTTTGATTTTTGTTTCTCCATTCTCATGATGCTTTACTAAGAAGAATGTGTTCCACCTCCATCCAGGTTAAAACAAAAGATGTACAGTCTCCATCATTTTTAGTGGCTGAATAGTATCCCATGGTATAGATATACCATGGCTTGTTAATCCATTCCTGGGTTGGTGGGCATTTAGGCTGTTTCCACATTTTGGCGATTGTAAATTGAGCCGCAATAAACAGTCTAATGCAAATGTCCTTATTGGAAACGGATTTTTTTTTCTTCTGGGTAGATGCCTAGTCCTGGGATAGCAAGATCAAATGGGAGGTCTAGCCTGAGTTCGTTGAGGATTCTCCATACTTCTTTCCAAAAAGGTAGTATTAGTTTGCAGCCCCACCAGCAGTGTAAAGTGTTCCCTTCTCTCATCATCCATGCCAGCATCTTCAGCTTCAACAACTAAAGCAAATAGGCAACTTTCAGAATGGAAAAAGATATTCCTATAGTGTGAATCAGACAAAGGCTTGATAATGAGGACTTCCAGAGAATTCAAAGGAGCTGAGTTTAAAAAAAAAAAAAAAGTGTATATTAAGTATATAAATAGAAAATTTCTCCAAATGGAACAATGTAAGTTTTTGTTATTATTAACTAAATGCTAGAGGGCCAACAGTGAAACTGAGATTAAAGTCAAGATTAGTGGAAAGGAAATAATGCAGGGGACTGAAAGAAGGATTTCCGATCACATGAGCCCAGGGAGGAATGCTGTCCCTCCCAGACGCACAGGGGAAAGAGCAGGGCTACAGGCGGTGAAGTATCTAGCTTTGTGCTGGTGGGCTAGGTAGCCTATTAATTCAGTGTTTAAACAACCTGTTTTGAATTTACAAGTAAAGACTTTCCTGGTTATTAAACATTCTTTGGCTTTATGAACTTTTGTTCTGATTCCTTACTTATCTGCATATACCAAATTAGATCCTGGCAGTTGAGCACTCTGGGAGGGGGGGAAGGAAGCGCCATAGATACCGGATGCTCCTGCTGTTGTCTGGCCGCAGGTCATATGTGTCCTGGTCACACGTTTTCCCACAGGACTCAAGAGCTTTTCCAGAACACACAATAATTATATAACAGCAGCTACTCACCATTCACAAGTATAAAATACCTTTGGGAGGAAAATAGATGGTAGGCTGATGTCATTTTACCCAAAAAAGAGGCACTCAGTGTCACAGTAAACAGAATTTCTCAAATAGCAGGATCTTTTTGTAGGTTATACCCAGACAAATTGTGCAATTTGTTAACGTCTCTTCCCTGAGCCTTGGCGCTGCCCTGCGTATAGATATGTATTGGGTAGTAGCTGCTTAGGGCGGCATTAAACTCTGCGTCCCCGCTGGGCTCTCAGTGCTCCCCCTCGCCTCACCATTCTCTCATTCCCTGCCTCCCACAGACCACAGAAGCAATTATACTGTAGGATACCTGGGAGGATCCGCTGGCTTCTCACACCATCGCTGCATATCCCACAACTCGTATCTATGCTTATGTCCCATTCGAACAACCTAGATCCTGGAGTAGCTTTCTGCTCTGGCTTTTGTGCTTTGATCAGAATAACTATTTAACTAAATCCCCTTTGTACCATTTTGAGAGAACGCTAGGTACCTGAATTCTTGCTGATGATTTCCATGGGGATAAATACACATCCCCACTATCACCTTTTGCTGGGCACAATACACAGAGTAAGCCACACAGAGAGATATCCCAGAATCTCATCTATTTTTACCGTAGTCAGTGCTAGAAATTTCTTATGAATGTTGCAAATGAAAAAGCTGAAGTCCAGATGCGTAGACTCTCCACACTGTCGTCTGTACTGTTTGGCTTTCTGGGTGGATGTTATGTAGCACAAAGGCACCAGGGTAGTACAGACAACACAAGCAGTGTGACTAAGCATTTAAGTTTTAAATGAATGCCTTAAAATAGTTAATTATACTTTACCCTACAGGAAGATAAAATGTTTTCTCAGGTCCCTGAAAGTGGATGATGAGTAATTTAAAGCTTTGTGGAGATCGAAAATTTGTTTGTCTATTTTTAAAAGGCTAAACTAGAGTTTGAAATAAGCTGTCCAGTTCCAGAGCCCAGCTCTCAATTGTTAGACTCTGTGGTCTCTTAAATGTAAGTGGATAATGGGAAAATTGTAGGGGGGGAAATAGTGAAGGAAGAATTAGGCTATGAGATAGTAAGTACATGTGTTAAAAGCTACACAACCAAAATAGCCTGGTGCTGGTTCAACAGAAACTGGGTCGGCCTCACACACAGGGAAAAAAAAGTGCAAAGTAGACCCAAATATATATGATGATTTGGGGGAGGGGAATAAATTGCATCCGAATCTTCCTCCTTTGTGTCTATCCCATTGTCAAAGTTCAACAAACATAGTTATTAAATCCCAGTTGGATTGTTTTGGATTTTAATGTACAAGATAAAACTGTAAGGTTTCAAGAAGCTGTTTTAGATAATTATTTCTATAATCTTGGGTGAAAAAGAACTTTGTAAGCTAGATATCATAACTTGAAGTCATAAAAGAATATATTAGAGAAATTTGACTACTAAAAATCGTGAAGCTTGTGCATGTCTGAGCATACAAATTCTCATAAATAACCTCAACTCACCCTCCTCCAAAGAAATCTAATTTGAGAGCCTTAAATAAACACGTCAAAGGAATACAAATAAAGGAATGAAAGAAATACAAAAATTTATGCTCCTACCATTACCTCAATAACTCCAAAATAGCTGCAGTGCTGGGATGAGCTTCACTAGGCCAGATTAGTCCAGCATGCAAAGAAGATCATGTTTCTCTAGAAACAAAACCTGCCAGCAGCCTTAATCCCTCACAAAACCTCAGACCACATGCAGCCATTAGCCAAAGTAAATGTGAAAAGAAAGGGAACATCAGAATTGTCAGTAAATTCTGCAAAGTTGAAATTCAAGCCTGCCGTTTCTGTAATTCCCAGAAATACGTGTAACAGCCAAGCCCAAGAACTCCATGGCTTTGTGATTTTACAACTGGACCATTGCAAAGGTTTTAGAAATGTTTTAAACATATAATTGATACAGCACACACACACATACACACGCACCTTCGTATGTGGTTAGCTTTTAAAGTATTTATTCAGCCTAAGTGAAGCACCATCAATGAATTTAGGGTTGAAAACCCTGTGTAGAGAGCAAGGTCAAGTGAAAGCCCTAAGTAACTTCTAAGAGACTTGGGACTCCCCAAGCAAATATAACGTGGTGGTTCCAGCTAACAGGCTGACCTCAGCATGGGAACAAGGCCAGCTTTAAGCAGCTACAACAAGCTTTAATTTTGTCCTAAATCTCCAACATCCTAATTGCATATTCACTCCCTCTAATTTGTAGTCACGACAGGTATCAGGATATTTCTGTGTGGACAGAGAGGTTGTATGCCCCATTCATCTTTCCTTGTTCTCTAGGGATTTGAACTGAGGTGATCCCTGTGATCCCTGAGAACTTATCCTAGTGAAATTAATATTCTCTTTCATGTGTCAAACACAATGACATCTTGGGTGGGCTCTTTGAATCTGTTAACATATAATTTCTAAAAATACCCTTTAGCTACCCTAGGACTCCTCATCGAGAGGAGAATAACTCTTATTACCCAGGCCCAAGAAAAGTTGCCCTGTGCTTCCAACTGTCTGGATTAACAGGGGCAGTGTAGTGGGACTATTTAAGAGTAGCGTTAAAACAGCCCTGGAATAATCTATACTGCTTCCCTCATTTCTTTGCTTGGTATATGGTCACACAAGCTGTTTCCATTGAATTAGGTTATATAAGTAGAAAATAATTCTGGGACTATCATTTTATGTTGGCAAATGATGTAAGAGCTCTTTAAGGAATTTATTTATTTATTGGTTTATTTATTTTTGGTTGCTTGGGTACGCACTACAGGAGAAAATTGCCTTGGAAATGATGCAAAAAGAGCTGTAACTGAATATTCATCATGTAGAGTGGGAGAAAAGGAGGGCGCTCTCAGACAGATGGCATAGCCCTGGCATTTTACCCTTTTGCCATGGAGTGCAAAGTCCCTTTCCCTGCTCAGGGGATCTGTAGAAGGGAATGCAGAACAGTCAACTGGGCTGACGGGGGAGGATCTGCCTTGGTCAGACTCAAGTTCAACACTTTTGGGGGCGGGACACGATTATAAGAGGGTCCTTATCTAACAGAAGCAATCAGTGTAACCTGGTTCTGTGTGCCCTCAATGAGCAAGATCATGGCCTCCTCGGTGCCAACATCATGAATTCAATTTAGGTTATTTCTCACATGCAACGTCACGGAAGAAAGAGAAAATTTGACTTGTTTTCTGGCCAGTAGGTCCTCTTCACGTGGCGTGGAGGTCTCAAAGGTAGTGTCACCCTTTGGGGGCAAGTTACTCAGTCTGGACCTTGCTCTCTGAGGCCCCCAGCTTCTCCCCGACCTCATTGCCCGTTCCTGCCCCTCTCGCCACAGGTGTGGAAGACATCGTGGCCATCATGATTCCTGAGCCCAAAGGGAGGGAGATAGTGAGCCTGCTGGAGAGAAACATCACCGTGACCATGTCCATCACCATCGGCACCCGGAACTTGCAGAAATATGTGAGCCGCACTTCGGTTGTGTTTGTCTCCATCTCCTTCATTGTTCTGATGATCATTTCCCTCGCATGGCTGGTCTTTTATTACATCCAGAGGTTTCGGTATGCAAATGCCAGGGACAGGAACCAGGTGAGTAGCTAAAAAGTTTTAAAAAAAAAAAAAAAACAACTTTAAGAAGTGGTTGCAAAGGCAACACAGTATTATTGCATAAACTTTGCACATTACAGAAAATGCTGAGACAAAATAGAATGACGTATCATCTCCCCACGGAGATAAACGCTATTAGCTTTTGTCGTATAGTTTCTCAGATATATCCCAACTATACCAATTTTGCTGTTTTACCAGTAGTGTGTGAAGTGGAGGTCATTTGTCCCACGTGTCTATTGGTTTTTTTTTTTTTTTTTGGACAATTATTTATTTGATATGTGCGCAATGAAGGGAAAAGGGGGAAGGGAGCCGAAATGATGCCAGTAATGGGAATATAATTTGGAAAGAGCCAGGATTTTCTCCTTGGGAAAAGAAGGTAAAAAAGAGATGAACATTTAAAGCTATTTCTGAAAGTAATTAAGAATTAAGCATACACACACACACGTGGGTCATTATGAAATTTGTGAAATACACAAACATCGAGAAACGTAAAATCCACACGGACAGGAAACAAATAAAAACCTCCCAGAAACAGTGACACACTGAGCAAGTTGAAACTTGCATGAGTGAGTCAGAGAGGACACAGTGGGCTGTGTTTCCTGGAAGTGAAATAGTGGATCATAACACAGTCTGTCTCAAAACTTTCATAGTGACCTATGTGTATATGCATGGTGTAAAATGCAAAGGGCATAAACTGGGATACAATGACAAGTAATTGCCTTCTCAGGTGTGCCTCTCAGCTGCCCAGTTCCTCTTCCTAGAATATCTTCTCTTCCAGGGATATTTTATGTTGTTATGCACAATATGCTCATGTGTGTATGTGTTTATATTTAAAAAATGGCACGCAACTCTGTAACCTTCTTCCTACTGCTTCAGACTGGACATGAATTCACTTGGGCATGCAAACCAAGCTGCCTCCTCATTTCTAACAACTGTGTATCATTTCATTATCTGTATGTGTCACAGTCTATTCACAGACATTTTTTCTCTTATTAAAGAAATGTACACAAGCCACTTAGCACATTTGGGAGTATGTCTGTAAGGTAAATCTTGGGACTTTCAATTGTACAGCAATGATATGTAGGTTTTAAAGTATGATAGATACTGTCACACGGCCAATCAATTTTGAACTCATTTATATTTTAACTAGCAGTATATGAAAACTACATCTGCATGTCTTCACCAAAAGAATGGTACAGCTTATTGTTGTAAGTGATTCAATAAGTTAAAAATGTTATCACATTTTTCTTATTATAAATCATGTTGAACGGTTGAACGTCTTTTCAGGTTCATAGAAAAAGGGAATATTTTTCTGAGAAGTATCTTCTTTTATTATTGGACCACTTTTCAGTTGAGTTGTTGGTCATTTTCTTATTGGGCATAGGCTCTCTTTTTTTTTTTTTGAGATGTGCATAAGCTCTCTATTAGTCCAAGGAATGAATCCTTTGTTGTAATAGAGGATTCTATTTCCCCCTCTGCTTATTGTTGTCTTTGATTTTATCTGTGGTGCTTTTTGCCTTGCAGACATGTGGGAATCTTCCATAGCTAATTGTATTCATCTTTTCTTTTTTAAAATAAATTTTGTGTATATTTGAGATGTATAACATAAGATCATAAAGTGGTTATTATAGTAAAGCAAATTAACGTATCTGTTATCTCACATAGTTTTTTGTGACAAGAGCAGCTGAAATCTACTTATTAAACAAAAATTCCTAACACAATTTCCTTTAGTCGTCACATGGTACATTAGATCTCTGAACTTGTTTATACTACATTATGTATGTTGGCCTGCACCTCCCATTTCCCTCCCTGCCCCCTCCCTAATAACCACTATTTTATTCTTGTCTCTGTATATTTGACCCTTTGTAAAAATTAGATTTCATCTGTAAGTGAAATTATGCAATATTTTTCTTTCTATGTATGTCTTATTCCCCTTAGCATATGTCCTCCAGATCCATCCATGTTGTGGCAAATGTCAGGATCTCCTTTTTAAAGACTGAATATTCCATTGTGTATGTATATGTATGTATACCCCGTTCTCTTTATCTATTTGTCCATCAGTGGACACTTAGGTTGTTTCCATATCGTGGCCACTGTGAATAATGCTACAGTGAATACAGGAGTGCAGATCTCTTTGCAAGGTGTTGGCTTCATCTCCTTTGGGCATATACCCAGAAGAGGGATTTCTGGGGCATATCCTGTTTTAAATTTCTTTAGGAACAGCCTTACTGTTTTTATAATGGCTGCACTAACCTGCATTCCCACCAACGGTGTATAAGGGTTACCTTTTTCCATACCCTAGCCAACATGTATCTCTTGTCTTTTTGATAATAGCCAGCCTAATCTCTCATGTTTTTATCCTTGACTTTTTAAATTTTACTTTCATGATTAATATTAAATCTATAGATAACTTGGTTCAGAATAAGGAGTAGAGAACCAACTTTTTTTTCAAAGGAGCTACGATTTTTTGTAACTGGATTTATTGGCTAATTAACCTCCCCCCATATGTCTGTAGTATCCCCAGGTAACATATAGTAAATATCCATGTATAATTGATTCTATACTGTGCTTTTTAAATTGTATCATTAATCTGTAAATTCATAGTCTAGTACCATATTGTTTTGAGTACTATAGAATTATAATATTTCTCATAGGTGTTCATGCTAACTTCCTTTTGATTCTATCTTCATTCTTCTCATTTTTATCTTTACATGGATTTAGAACCAGTATATCAGTTTTTAAATTTATAGAATATAGAAGAAATTTATAACCTTATGATGTTCAGACTTCCTATCCAAGAATAATATGTTTTGCCTTTTATTCAACTCTAATTTTTATTACCAGTGGCACTTTAAAATTTTTTAAATCTTGGAAACTTTTCTTATGTTTTAGATATTTAATTATTATATTGCTATTATAAATTAAACTCTCTTTATATAGGAAGCTTTTGATTTTTTACATATTTAATGTTCTCATTATTATCACCTTAATAATAGGAATGTGTAATACTTATTATAATGCAGTTCTAAGAGCTTTCTCTCTACATATACATTTACCTACATAATCCCCTTAGGATTCCTATAGCAGATCATTTTGTTGTCCTTATTTTACAAATGTGGAAGCTGAGCACAGAGAGGTTAAGTAAATTACTCAACGTCACACAGCTTGTTACTAATAGAGCCAGTAACAGGATTCCAGAGTCCACACTTAGAACCACTCCACTGCAGCATTTGTGATTGTTTATATTAGTTTACCATGATTACATCAATAATTCCTATAGTCAGTGATAACTTCTTTCAAATTTCAAACATGCTCTTTCTGTTATCTAATTTCATTGATTTCTATCTCCAGAATAACCTAACAGTTATTCTAGTGAATCATTTTTCCAAAGCCTAGACAACATTTCTCTCTCGTCTTTTTGACTACCATGTTGGACACTGCAAGCTAACAGTTGTTATAGTGAACATATTCCTCTTCATTTCGTATTTAATGGGACATCCTCAAACTAACGCATTTTATCATTTTGTCATTATTTCTCCATGCAGTCTTCTATGTTGAGATATGTATTTTATCATGTTACAAATAATGGCAGCAATATCAACTTAGTCCTATTTTATTAAGAGTTTTTAATCAAAATGGGTATTTAATTTTAACCAATGCCTTTTCAACCGCCATGGTCTACATTTTTGCTTTTGATCTACTAAAAGGAGTATTAGTAGATTTGCCAGTGTGAACCATCCTGAACTTACCATAGACACTAGTCCTCTAATGTGTGCCAGGTTATATTTGTTAGTACTTTATTTAGTATATATTTTTTACCTTTATATTCATATGTGAAATTTATCTATTGTTTATATTTCTAGCATGTTTAGGTCATAGTTATACTGCTTTATAGGAAGACTTTACAAACTTTTCTCCATTATCTGTAATCTAGAGCTTGCAGTGTCCAACATGTTAGTCACTAACACTGTGTGACTAAGTTTAAATTGTAATGAAATCAAATTCAAAATTGTAGTCCTTAGTCACTAGTCACAGTTCACATGGCTGCCACATGGCAGCGCATTATAGGACACTCCCATCAGTGCAGAAAGTCCCCTTGGGCAGCACCGCTCTAAGCATTTTAAATACCACTGGAATTAGCTGATTCTTAAAGTATTAGCAGAAATTTTTTTGTAAGTTAATAAGGTCTGAGCTGTTGTTTGTTTTAGGAGGATGGCTCTTCTTTTTCTATTTATTTTATGATAATCGGTTTAAATTTTCAGTAGCTTTTGGAACAATTTTTTAAAACATTGTCATTGCTTTTTTCTGATTATCAAAATGATACACGCTCATTTTAATAAATTCTGGCAATCATAGAAAAACAATGAAGAACAATTCACCTATTATGCCATTGAACTTTTAACAATTGAGTACAATTACCTTTCAGGTATTTTAGCCGCCTACATATATATTCAGTAAATGTTCACTTTAGGTATCTCTGTATACATGAGACACGCATGTGGATAAGTTTTATGTTCTACTTTTTATTAACTGGTGATCATTTCCCCCATCATTACATAATCTTCAAAAACATGGCTTTTGTGGCTACTTAGTGTTCAGGTGGGAAAATGGTATACTTCCTAAACTAAACAAGCATATACTTTCTTTTTATTTTCTTCTTTTTTTAATGCAGATTCTCTGCCAAGATTTATGCCATCTCCATTATTTCTTTTATTTTTTTTCCAGACCAGGTCCCATTATGTTGCTTGGGCAAGAGTGCAGTGGAGTCCTCATAACTCACTACAGCCTCAGACTCTTGCCTCAGCCTCTAGAGTAGCAAGGACTATCATGCCCCACTATGTTTGTGTGTGTGTGTGTGTGTGTGTGTAAAGACAGGGTCTTACTTTGCCTCGGCTGGTCTCAAAGCCCTGGCCTTTGTATATTTATATGTGAATCTCCTCAGCGATCCTCGCACTTTGGCCTCCTGAAGTGCTAGGATAACA